CGGGAAAGCGGCGAGAATGGGTACCCCAGGAGGCCCGTCGCGCGGCAAGAAGGCAGAGTCGCGGACGAGTCGCAGCGCGTGATGTGCGATGTAGGACGTGCAATGGGACATTCTATTTAACTTGACGCGAAATCCCTACAGTACGCGCGCAACTCGTCCGCTGACTCGCCTTCTTGCCGCGCGACGGGCCTCCTGGGGGTACCCGGCGAGAATGAGCGCGTGAACTAGAGACGCTCTCGCCACTTCCAAACACTGTCACGTCGCTGGTCACATTGTTTGAAGCGCTGGTGATTCGCTCGTATCCCGCGATTCCCAGCGAATCCACGGTTCCGTAAAGTCTGACACCGGCCTAACCACCCCACTTTTTGAACCGTGTTCGTTTCCTCTGCAGCTTCCATGTTTTTCTAGTGGGCCAATATGGAAAAATTCGTAGTTAAACTGCTCAATGCGCACCTTGCGCAGCAGAAAAAATCACTGCAATTATGGTGAGTCCTTCATGTAAGGAACTTTTCAAAGGAGTAATAGAGTTAACTCAGAAAAGGCGTTATTTGTGCTGTGTTCGTGACCTGACCATAGCTCGAGAACCAGTTTGACTATCAAACCCCAGTTTAAATTTATCATCAAGGTCGGTCAACCCAGCGTGGACCTGACCCCATCCCCCCCCCCCTCCTCAAAACCTCAGCCCTAATTATTTCTCCATTTGCCTTGGTATAAGAACGAGCGCAGTGCAATCAAAAACTCTTCCTGCACTAGTTTAAACACATGTCCTAGTAGCAAAATTTCTGCAGGGTTGCTTGATATAATAATTGCGAATTTTATAAATAATTGCGCGTTTCACACGCCTTGCAGCATGGATGGGCAGTGAGTATATTTGGGTGCTGAAAAAAGAACAGCCGGTGATCACGGCAGACACGGGCTCGACAATGCGGCTACGGCTAGAAAGTTTAGGACATACTTGTTTTCTGTGCTGAGCCGCTTTTCCATTCATCTTCACCTTCCTTCAAAGTTTCTGTGGCAATGAGACCTTGTTTCTCCCATCGTTCCAATGAGTCTGCGATTCCTGGAAAAAGAACTCGTATAGCAGATTCAAAAGTTGGATTCGTGAACCTCTTGAGGTATACTCATTTGAGGTGCGAAAATTATTCTAAATTAAAAAATTTACTGACTGAATCATAATCGCCGGAAGTTGCCTAATGAGCTCGTTTGCGAATTCGCCAACGTGCTTAGTGGCAAACCCAGGATTAGCCCGACTTGTGAGAAGGATACCGCGAAGAAAATTTCAAGGTTCATACCTAACTTGGATCACTCAGCTTCGAAAAATGCGGTCGTTTAGGAGCGCTAATTCGTACGCCAACGCCACGGGCCTGCAACCATCGACCCCCCGTTGCAACGCTTCCCACCCACCTTAACCGATGTGCAGACAAACGTGCTCTCTCAAACAGCGTGATCTCTCGCATGTTTTTTTTTCTTCTCTGATCGCCCTGTCTCGCCATTGTATAATACCACATCCGACTTTATTGAAATTTAAGGCCCTTACATAAAGATTTATCATGCTTTTGCTCGTCCACTTTCAGGTGCGTTCTGAGGCAGCTCAGTCATCACTACGAAAGCTCTATGGCACACCTTTTATCCCAGGCTCGCGAATTTAGGGCGCCCTTTAGGGGAACACGTAAGGAATATTCTACCGTTAAAACTTTGATTAACATCGGCTCCATGTGCGCGAGGAAAAGTTCGATAGTGTGCGCTATGGGCTAAGTGTCTCTTTTTGGCCACCCCCCCTGAATGTGCCATATGTCAATTTATGAGGCTTACCAAAATCTGTCAGTTTAACCATCCAATTTCGATCAATGAGACAGGCCCAAGGAGTAAGTGACCCATGGAAGCCGATTGTAGATGAGTGTAGATATTCCAAACCCTGAAACAACACTACTTTGTGGCAGTTTTCAGACAGACTGAAGAACATGGGAAATTAGGGGCTAAATTGGAGGGTGTCACAATACTGCTACTATTTTTTTTTAAATTTTTGCTACTAATTTTTGAAATATTCGCAAGCCGGACTGCGGGCAAAAACAGCACTTAACAAACAAAAACTGCAACTAATTATTGTTAAGTTCGACGATCTGGGACACGTTTAAGCCGTCACGAATGTCGGCACGTCTTATCTCCTGAAATGGCTTACGCGAGTAAAAATCATACCAGCTGATAGCACTGCTCACGACGAATTCCGTGGTGTATTTAGATTCCGATCTCCCTCATTTATCAGCCTCATTTTGTTTCCTATTCCCCTCTGTATTAATTACAACGAGGCGATGTCCGCCCAATGAGCTTGACCTCAAATAACTAGACAGATTTCTCTCAAAATGAAGCTGAAAGAGGAGAGAACTCGGACGTTCCACACATCATTGAATTTGTCGTGAGCAGAGCTATCTGCTGGTATGATTCAATATCGCGCAAGCCCTTTTCAGAAGTTGCGACGTGCCGACGGTTGCCACGGCTTGAAATCGCCGCAAATTGTCAATCTAATTAGGTATTTAATTAGTTTTTGTTAGGGTTACTTATGAAATCACGGGTGATGAGTAATCTGCTGCTGCTGAAAAAAGGCATAGTAAAGCGTCGAAAACTCTCTTGATCACTCTGTTTATGCTGAACGGCTGGTCGATAACAAGCAGTACTAAAGTCAGAGAGCTGAGAAACTGCCGTAAGTTACTTAATGTTCTTTTCCAAATTCGCCTTTCCCCTATCTAAGGCTTAGTCCCAAGTTCTGCTACCTCACATCAATGTCTCCCTAATGGCAGAGCGCCCTAGAAATTCACACCATGCACTAATGTTGGTAAAAACTTTGAGAGTTGCACAGTGCAGAAAAAACCGAACGATGCGGAATTCATAGGTCCAGATAGTCAAAAATCTGCTTCATACCAGTGTGATGTCTCTGATGAAGGCGCCATGGAACTTCGCGTCCAGCACCACATCCTTGTTGTAGATGATGTCCTAAAATGGCTTGATTGATCTCCGCAATTGTCAGGCAGGCTTTCCCTATTTCGAGAAGACACAGAAAATGGAAAACTGCAGAGATGAAGCTCGGAGCTCAATACCTTCAGCGGAGAGTTCCCGACTTTTTTCAACTGCAAATTTTCAAACTACTTTCACTTGAAAGTCCTACCTGTACAGTACCACGAGTACAGTATTTCCAGAGTAATACCATTTCATCTTTTTCATTGAAAGACATGCCAAGGAAAGGATTTAGATTGTCGTGGATCGATTGTTTCATCTGAAAGCAAAACCATGGGCGCATCTTCTGCAGAGATTACGGTAGGTGACAGTACCAATGTCAACAACTGCATGTCGACCCGACTGAAAGTGATTGGACGTCGTTGTGGATAGACGTGAAATGAGGCATGAGTGTTTGTGCCGACTATAGCGTGATGTTTCGCAAACGAGGTTTGATTCGACAGTTTTGTCGTCGTCGACCCAAGCGATAACTGTAACAATCGATATATGGACTGAAGAATATTCCTGTGCTACGCCGGCAATATTGCTTTGCCTTCAGCATCAAATTCTTATTATGACCGAAACGAAACAGCTTTTATCAACACATTGATAAGCTGACATCCCAATGCCATTTTCTAAAGCTGATGTAGGGAAGGGTTGAGGCAAAGAGAAAGCGCACTTCGCCCCATGGCGCACAATACATCAAATCTTTTCTTCGGCACATGCCATTGCTGGTAAATTTTTCACGACAGAATACTCCTTTGGTTCCCCGTCCCCAGAAGCAGGCCCTCCTTCACTGCCCCCACCGTCTTCAGAATATGACGTCATCTGCCGTCACCGTCGAGCTCAACGAGGCTTACCGTAATCGCTCCGACCTGAAGCTGCTACATAATTTCTTCAATGGATTAACTGTTGAATAGCTTCCCAGAGACATTAGCTGTGGCTACAAAACCGCTTTCCCAGGGACGGGAAGGCTGGTCGCAAATGAGCTATGGTACCTGATGACCTCGTTGAACTCATACCGTGAGCCCATGGTTCCGTTGGGAGAATCTTTCAAGATTTCGTCGGCGTGAAGGCTTGTTATTAGCTTTCTGATACAATACAAGGTGCTCTTCGAAATTCAGTTGGAATTATTTGGCTTGATTCCGCAGTGCGTAAAGGAAAGTGACCTTTTCTTCACCACCCCCCCCCCCCTTGTCCGTTATATGTGTTCGTCCTGCTGTAAGCGAACTAAGACACACTTCTCGAGAAAAAGACCAGGGTTTCCAGAAAATTGAATAACAAAATAACAAAAACTAGATGAATAATAACTTCAGAAATGGGGGAGGTGGATCTATTAGAACTGGTCCCTACACCATTATCATAGTCTGTCCTAATAAAGGAGTCTTCGTTGGAGTATCATCCTTTGCAACTCAGTAAACTACTCTATGCCAGCAAAGACCCTACAGTTCCCATCTTCTAAAGTGCCAACTAGATGTGATGACTCCAGATGCATTTCAGTTGCCAGCTCGACCGAGTTGCAACTCTCGCCTCACCCTCTATCAGATAGAGCTGATTGAATTCCAAATATCGGATCCATAGTGAAAACCTTATACGGCTGCAAAACCTACTTACCATGGAACGAGCTTCGTCCTCGTTAATCACTCTGAAATCATCGCGATAAATCCTCCACGGCATTTTCGCCAGCGCGCGGTTCTCACTGAAATGTATTATTGAACGCTGGAAAACTTTGGGATGCAAAAGGAGCTTATACTTGAAGCCATGGATACAGATTTAGCTTCATTGCCCTGAAGGAAACTGAGGCAAAAGCGCTCACTCTACTTTGGATTGGTACGATTTCGAGCTTCTAGATTTCTTCAAAAATATTTTAAAAAGGAGCTCACTATTTTTACCGGAAGCTTTTGAGTTTTCTGGAACCTCCTTTCCCAAGAGAAAAACAATACTCAATGCACGTATAATGAAATGCAATTTTACCCTTGGTGTGAAGTATGGGCTGAACTGTACAAATTTCTGTATTCGTGAAGGGCAGTTGTCAAACCCGACGGTGTGTCAAATCCTGTGGTGCTAAGAAGCTGAAGGAGGGCTGCCAAGTGCGCTAAGCAGCTGTAGTGGACTATAACCTTATTCGGGTTCTGCAGCGGAAAGAACCAAGGCTCAAACCTTCTTACTCTGCAGTCACAGCTTCAAAAAAGTCAAATTTAAAAAAGTTCTACCAAGTTGTAAACGGTCAGGAATGAAGGCCTATCGTGGTTTATATATACCTTTCGAACTAAGAGCTAAGAGGCAGAAGAGGGCGACGACTCATGGAGTGTAATATGGACACCCAACCAAATTCACAACACAGCGTTCGTGAGTGTAAAAGGAGCGCTAAGGCGCTACTGCAAGGTACGGGGCATGCTTCTTAGAGTGGGCTTAGCAGGGACAGGAACTTCAGGGCAGGAAAATGCAAAATTGCTACACACACCCTCGGAGCCTCCTCCCCACCTAGGGCTTTTTTAACAAAATAAAATGAGATTGAAGATCAAATACGAGCCCAACCACAATGCCCCACCTTGTGTAAGCGCCTGCAATCCTTTTTCACTCGGGGTGCCCAGGCGGATGACACACCATTTAGCCCATTTGTCTAAACAATAAATTCTTAAGTGTAACACAGCTTTATGAGCTCCTCGTATAACTGTAATGTAATGGGGGCCATTACGGAGAGTGGAGGTGAGCACGAGCCAGAAAGAGGAGCATCTGAGGTGCTGCAAATACGTACCATACTCGTATCATGATGAGAGCAGTGACGACACAAGAAAGCACCACTACCAAGAAGACACCGGCACAAATGATCAACGTGTAGTCACAACGCTCGTTACGGAATCCGCATGCGGGTTCTTCTTTAGGTAGGGCACCGTCTGGCGATGGCCAGAATCCCGTCATTACATCAGTGATTTTCTGAAAAAAAAATAATTGCGATTGAGAACAAGTTGCAGATTTACTAAAGAAGTGCTTACCAAGTCAAAGCAGCCAGTATTTGTTTTCACACCATCACAATTGTCAATCAGCTTTGGCTCGATCTCATTCTCGTATAACTTCTTATACTGTGTCGCTGTTAGCCGCCACGTGGAATGCTAAGAATAGTGCATTAAACTGATTCCGTTACGGTCTCACTGCAATATATTGGAAGCAAGTTGCGGCTGGAGGCCGCAGGAGGGTACTCGACAAGAGGCTCGTCGAGTGGCGGGAAGGCGGAGACCCAGGCATATAAGCGAGCGAGTCTCAGCGCGTATTGTGCGATGTGGGATTTCCTATAGTGCGTTCTACTTATTTTATTTATTAATTAATTTACTTATTTTTTATTCAACTTGCGTTCAATCGCAACGCGGTGTTACTCGTCCGTTACGCGCCTGCCGCGTCTGCTTCAGCTGCTTTTTCGCCGCCTCTCTGGTCCGCGAGTTGGGCCTCGGGTGGGGCGGTGCCAGTGCGCTTCGCGTACCTGTTAACAGAGCGAATTTTCAACAGCAGGTGGCGACAGTTGTACGTTGAGGTAAGTGCGAAAGGCAATTTTTTCCGAACAAATTTCGGGCCTCAAGGGAGCATGCACACGATCGTGGTGTAGAGAGCCTAGGCAGGTCTACCCGACCAACCTATCGCACTAAAGGCGCTGAGGGGTTCTATGCCTCACCTCGTGTTTCAGTGACATTAAGGGAACTGCACGCAACGCGTCAGCCATCCTTACCACTGCCTTCTTTAGGATTCCCAGCGGCTTACAAACATAATTGCTTTTTTGGAAAGGCAAAGTACAGCGCACCAGGAGTTTAACAAGGGATGGCTCAGGACGGATGATAAGCGCAGGGTACTGGTGTGGGATTTCCATACAGGGCTCTATTCAAGTACTAAAGCCCAACTCTGCCCGGTTAGGAGTAAAGCCCAACTCTGCTCGTTTTAGGAGTAATCTCTTCTACTACTGCTGAATTTCTATTTGGAGGAAGAACTCAGCCATTTTTAGACCACATCAGTTGGTTTCCATGAAATTCTTCCGCCACAAAGCGCCATACAGCAGGCCTAAGCCAATATCTACATTCAAAGAAGCCAATTTTCTAAGTACCTGCGTAAACTGGTGCACGTTCAGCAATGTCGTCCATCATTACAGTTCCAGAGCTCACACCGGCGGCCGAGACAAGACCTAAGAGTTACACGAAATCATACTTCCTTTTGTTTACTTTTGGTTCATGAATTTAGTTTTGAGAATTGAACGATTTTCAATTATGGTTCAAAATTTGCCCTCCCAATTGGTCGAGAGTTCAACGGAAGAGGAACCCCTTCTTTGCTGAGATAATAAATTATAATACGATGAGTAACTTCTGAGAGTAAGGCTGAGCCTCCAATCGAAAATCTTTGAATGTTATAAGTTTTTCAGAACGCACCTGGGAACGTCAAACGCCGCATCTTGTTCCATATATATCGCCCGTCCTTGTAAATGTTCGGATTTCCGGTCACGTTCATAGCCAAACGAACTGCAGTCGCATAGAGACGCAGTGCGTCGTACAGGTGGATATAGCCGTAGATGTTCCCCTGTAGAAATTGGATTGATCATTTTCACGAATGGGTGAAGTGCCCGCGAGATCATGGTCAAATAAACTTGCAGCAAGATCCTCGGGCTGCAGTAGTGAGACAGCACATGCCCCGAATGCCCACCCGATTGCGATTGGCTGCGCGGTCATTTTGTGAATGTCTGAACGCGCCAGCCAGCCAAACGCAGACGAGTGGGCATGTTGGTAACATTTGCTTTCGACTTTTCTGCAGTCCGTAACAGGAAGGACCTTCCTGCACGCTTTATCTGAGTTAACGGATACTAGACGGATGGCTCAGCGTGGTGGCCAACGCGATGGCTCATTTTTGACTCGGCCGTGTCGCGCATGCGATAGTTTCGAGTACCCGACAGGAGGCCTGTCGCGCGGCAACAAGGCAGAGTTAGGGGACGAGTCGTAGCGTGTACTGTAG